TTAGTCTCACAACCAACTTCTATCATTTGATGTGATAATATTAATGCTTCTGCTTTAGCTTCAAATCCAGTTTTTCATGCACGTACTAAACATATTGAACTTGCTAAGTCACTTGCTGTTTGTTTTGTTCCTTCTAAGGATCAATTAGCAGACTTATTGACCAAGCCTCTTCCTTCCTCTTGATTTCTTTTTCTCCGAGATAAACTTGGTCTCACTTTGCTCACCTCTCATTTGAGGGAGATGTTAAACATATATCTAGGCTCATGTTGACTGAACCATCAAAGAAGAAGTCTAAGAAGACCAAACAGCCCAAAGTTTAATTTGCAATCCATTTGTATATTATTTCCTTCTTGGTCTGTATAGTAGCTAATTCTTTCTCATTATAGAATAGGGCTAATGTGGTCCTTGTGCTGTAACTAACTCTACAGTACATTTTTTTTATATAATCAATTGTTTTGTACAGGCTCCTCACATTGAGAGAGCACAGCATTTTCCAAATCTGTCTTTTGCAATTTCTTCCATATACTTTTTAGTTCAAATGTAAATATTTTGGATACAAGTATAGGAAAATGGACTTTAATTGCACTAGGCCTTGGTTATAGTATTTATTGACAATTTTTAATATCAAAATATTAATAAATTAACTTAAAATAACCAAAATAGAGCTGCCATGTGAATTTTCAAAACAATATATACAATTTTTTAACTTAAGTACTTAAAATATTTACAATTATATTAAAATATATTAAAATTAAAAAAAATATTCACATAACATGAAATTTTAGAGGTTTATATTCACTCAAAGCATTCGGCTTTCAAATCCAAACCGAAGATTCTGATGTCACCCATTCCTCGTTTGTGGGGGCCAATATTGAGACAAAACGAACTTCTTCTTAAGCCAATAGAAATCCAGCCATGTTGTAAGGCCCAAGATGTATTTAGTGGATTTCATCTGTTCCTAAAAATATGTTTTTTACCGGTTGAATGTAGCACAGATAATAGCAATATGAGCCTCTTAAATATCATTTATAGGTTCAATTTCTAGACACGTATAAGTGTATGGAAAAAACATTTTTTGAGAGAGAGTAACACCTTAAATGGCTCTAAAATTTTTTAAGAGATTAGTCTCATGCTACCAACAATAGAAATACTTTGGGTAGCAAAAAAATTAAAAAAAATTAATAATAAAACTTTTAATTTCTCAAATTTATCTTAATTATTGATTTAGTCTCTCAAGTTTACTTTTTTATCATTTTAATCTCTTAAATTGTTTTTTAGATTATCACGTTAGGTCTTTATGTTTGAAAATACAAATAGACCTTTAAATTAATTTAATATATAAAGTATATTGATAACTTAACATATATGCAGTTAAATAAGAACAAATTAATCCTCAAATCAGTTTAATTTTCATAGTCCTTTATGTTGGGTTTTGATTGTTCATATATTTTTTAAAATTTCTGACTTTGTTTTTCCCTATCTAAATAATTACATTCTTTTTATTAATTTAAATGATTGTCATCAATTTTTTATTATTTATGTTACCAAATTTTAATAGTTTTACCTTTTCTTTAAACAATAAGAGCTAAATAGATAATTAAAAAAATTTAAAGGATTAAATAGATAAAAAACTTAAACTTAAAGGATCAAATTGATAATTAAGATAAATTTAAGGAAGTAAAAGTTTTATTATTCCCATGTTGCTTGATCTTTGTAATTAATCTTGTTAGGTGGCTTATTATCATGCACCTAGGGTATAGTATCCCCACTACATTATGGAATGAAATAACCTAGCTCATCAGGTCGCCGCCATTAATAAAATTACTTTACAACTCAAAGTTTATCTTAGCATGTTAAATGCTATATAGACTAGTACACGTACTAACTCGATGTACCGTGTTAGATAAACCAACACGAAATATTATTAATTATTAAATATTTATAACGTGACATGTCATTTAGATATTCGGTCTATTAAAAATAGTATAAGTAAAATAAATTTTTTTTTCAATAATATATCACATATTTTTTCTTTGCATGCAATCAACCTTACTTAATGAGATCATACCTATTGTTCTTTAAATATTTTTCTTTCCACTTCTATCTGAATTTATTTATATGTTTAGACTATTTTTTAATTAAAAAAATACATGAACAATATGAGACTAATTTAAAAGTATGTAATAATCTCTCAACCAACCTCCACCTCAATTTTCTCCTGTAGCCAACTCTATCCTTTAAGGCTTCCAAGCCTAGAATATATATAGTATATCCAAAAATTGAATTAGCTTTAAAATTAAAAAGTTATAATGTTCTTAAAAAAAATAAAAAGTTAGAATGTTGCAAAATTAGGAATCTCTATTGCAAATCAGGTATTTATGTTTCAAATATAATTCTCTACTATTTTGTATCATTTGCATCTATTTAAATATTGATATTTGCAAATCATTTTTCAAAAAATTTTGTTGAAGATCTAACTATCATTGTATTAATATTTTGGGACCTAATTTTTATTTTTCTTATAAAGGTTGTGAATATGAGAAATTTTAAAGGACCAAGATCTTTGGTTGGAATTAAAAATTTTCTGAGTTGATTTTTGATACTTATATCTTTCATTTTTTTTACTCAACTTTGATTTTTTAATAGTCATTTTTTAATATTTTCAATACTAACCTTAGATCTTTTTCATATCCTTCTTTAATATTTTTCATACCTTAAAATTAATAGATGCTTTTGATCATTATTTTAAGAATCGGATTGGATGGTCGAATTGGTTGGATTATTAACCAAAGTCATTAATGACTTGGTTTGAAATAAAAAATCATTTTTATAGTTAAGTTGAGTTGAATTGGAATTGAGCTTCCAATGAACTAGAAACTGAAATGATTTTTAAAAAAAATCAAACAGGTATAAACATAATATAAAAAACATTTAAAAGCTAACTTCATTTTGCAGCCATCCACATATATAATATAATTTGGGACCAATTTTTTTTACAAAAATATTAGTAATTATAAATACAAATGCAGGTACTCTTGAATTTATCCATTTTAATTGAAACCCACCTATATTTAATGAGTTATAAAATTATAAATTATAATATTATTGATTTATGATCATATTATGTTACCTTATTAATAACTAAACATAATATGGATTTTCTTGGCAAAAAACACATAATATATACTCCATCCATTTAAAAATATAAGGCATTTTTAACCGAATATCACCCCTTAATAGAGTAGTTATCTACTTTTAAACTAAACATATCTTTTTATATTTATCCCTATTAAACACCCCACAATAAATATAAAATTATTATCAATAGGGATACCTTTAAAAAAAAGATAATAATTATATCTCAAAAGATTAAAAATACTTTACATTTTTAAACAAAGAGAGTATATATATATATATATATATTACATACATTTAATATTAATTTTTTATTTAGTTACTACATAATTAATTACCTATAAAGTTATTAATTAGGGATAGACCAGCCCTTGAAGGACTAGGATCAAAATGAGTTAGCCCAAATAAGCTCAATTATATTTAAGGATTTTATTTTATAAAGCTCGGCCCTAGCTCTCAAGATTAAAGGGTTGGTTCTGTGAGCCTTAACCTTATCTTTTTAATTTAAAAACTTAAAGAATATATTTATAATTCTAAAAAAATTATTACATATAAGATTAAGTTTATAAAAATAAATTTAAGTCAATTCATACTACAATAAATATATAAGACTTAAACATCCAAGTCTAATATTAAATAATAATATTAAAATTAACACTAATAAAAATTGAACTTTGTTAATATCATCAACTAAATTTGAATGAATGAATGAGGGAGGAAGGGTGAGTCTAGGATTTTTATTTCTTTTAGTTAGTTACTTAGTCTTTTATTTTTTTCATATTAATTTTTTTTAAAAAAATAAAAGAACTTAAAAAAGGGCTAATGCTTTTATCTTTGAGCTTAAAAGGACCCTAAATTACTATTTTTTATCCTCAAATACTAGCTCAACCTTGACTATTTTTAAATTTAAAAGGATTAACTTGATAGGCTTCGTTTTAATTGACAATTCTAGCTATCTGTCTCAATATTTAGATTATAAAATTTAGAAATCAAGACCTTTCTTTTTTATTTAAGGGAGAATTTTAGTTAAGAACCATGAAAGAAATATATTTACTCATTTGTCCTAAAAAATTTAAAATTTTCTCTATAGGATTTTTGAGTTCAATTGAAATAAAATGAGTGACTAAAGAGACCAAAATGTCCTTTTGCAAAATTATCAAGTACTTAGTTGCTATCTAACTTTACTTGTTAATTATTTACTTGTATTTGTTAATTTCTTAACCATAATTGTTAAATAGTTAATTACTTAATTTCGTACTTCCATGACCTTAAGAACACTATTTATTAATTTCATAATTTTACTTGTTAATTTGTCAACATAACTTGTTAACTACTTAACTTGTAAATCTTTACAAGATTTGTTCACTCGATTTGATCAAAAAACATCTTCATTTGTTATTAATTTTTTTACTTTACTTATTTATTTACTAATATTAGTTGTAAATTATCTGTTTTCATCTGTTAATAATCATACTAATATCAAGTGTTAATTATCTAACTTTTATTTGTTAATTTACCAACATTAATAGTGAATCGTATGATTTGTCAATAATCATGTTAGTTCAATCATTCTGTCTTAAATGTAAAATCATTAATTATTAATTTTTTAACTTTACTTATTAATTTATCAATATCAGTTGTTAATAATTTTTTCTTTCTTTTATATAAGGGTATTTTATTCTTTTCAGCCACCTATTTTATTTCAATTCAGTTCATAATCTTGTAGAGAATTTAATTTTTTTTTTTTTAAGATTCACTGATAATTTTTTTTTTTTTTCCTTCCGCAATCCTTATCTGAAATTCTGTCTTGATTTAACATGCGGTCCGCCTTTGAAACATGATTAAGGGTCGAGCGCTTACAATACACTTGGACCCAAAAATAAGCTCCTCGTTGGGGCAGAATCTAAACTTGGATCTAAATTCGGTGGTTTGTGAGTCATAATGTCAAATTTTTACCAAATTGTACTGACGGGTCAATCATCAATGGTTGAAGGAATTGTTTATTCTGTAGCTCGAAGAAGGCCGGACGAGAGGGACAATCCGAATTGGAGAATCTTGCTGGCTGCCCTAAAAAGGAAAAAGCTTCACCTTCACGGTATCAAGGTGAACTGGTGGTGAATGAAGTAGCTACGGTGCAAAAAGAATAAACATATAGTCACTTTCTCTCTTCTCTTCTTTCTTCTTTTAATTTAGATTTCTCCTTTTTTGTTGGAGACGACTGGACTCGACTCGAAGATGCGTCCTGATCAAACCAACTTTACTTTACCCACCCACCCTTTAAAATAATTGCCCTGCCATGACTGTTTCATTCAATTCTCAAGTCGTACTCAAGGAGAAGCGAACCCATTTTTGTTTGCGCTCTCTGATATGACTGCTTCTGCTGCTCCGATTTCAGTTTCAGGTGATCCCTTTGTTTCCATTTCCAGGCCTCTTGCTTTGCCCTTATCCTTCAATTCCTCCTGCATTCAGCTTCATGGAGCTACATTGAGGGCATCAAGGGTATTTCTGTTGTGTTGTATGATTTATCTCCCAGATGCCCATTTTGTTCCGATTTTTTGCAAATGAGCTAATTATGTAACCATTACTGTGGCAGATCTTTAGCTTTAAGCTGGAAACACGGAAAACTGAGCTAACCCATTTGAGATTGTTGAAGGGTTTGAGGTGAGTGCTCAACTTTCCCTTGGTATCTACTTAAAGTTAAATTAGTACTGTTAGATTGTGCTTACTGTTAACTTACTTGTATCTACTTAAACAAAACTTATAAGTTTTTGGAATGGTTGTTCTCAATTAATCCCCTGGTTCTTTGGGGATCGTTATAGTTGTCTGAATGTAAGAGATAGCCCTATGAGTAGAGGGCTCAGTTATTGTTTACCTTTTTTTCATTTTAATTTGTAAAATGTTTGAGCTCCCCACAACAGTGTGTAAATTACATAGATTGAAAAGAAAAATAAGACTTTTCATCTTGGTGTGTGTCTTCTATATGGATTGCAGTTTGATTATGCTTAACTTTGAGCAATCTATGCTTGTTTGATAACACCAATACTCTTAATCACTATTCTATATTGAATGCTGATATGTGTGATATGATCCCATGGTGTTTCATGGATCGATTTTAATTCTTTGTGGTTTAATGGACCCTATAGTTCTACTTCTCTGTTGATTTTATAATCAACACTTTGAAGTAAAGTTAGAATAACAAAGTGATTTGTTCTTATTGTGATGAAATCCTGTAAAACCGTTTTGTTGTATCACTGAGTACCTTGTTCTTATGTTTGCAGGAGCAAAAAAAATTCAGACTTAAAGGCTTCCATGGGGCCTTCTGGATTTACACAGCAACATGAAAACAACAATCCAGGAACTGTTACAGAAGCTGAAAAGGGGCATGATCTATTTAATGATCTGAAGGACAGGTTCTTAAGTTTTAAAAAGAATAAATACATGTAAGTTTCAGTAGTTTCTTGTTCGCAAGAGTTTTACTTCTAATAGTCATAAGTGGAATAGAATTCTCCAAGATTGGTTTCTGCTTTCTGGCAGGGGAAACTTGGAACATTTCCAAAATCTTGCTGAGGTACAATCACCACAGGTAATTATTCTGTGTATGTCTTTCCCCACACTTTTGACTAAGAATTTGATTTAATTGCGTATTGCTTTATGGGTTTTCATTTAGTCTTTTTGGGCCACTCTTCAATTTGTCTCGTAGTGAAATTAATTTTTCTTGACTAACATGTCCGAGAACAGTTTATGGTCATTGCTTGTGCAGACTCTAGGGTTTGCCCATCATATATTCTGGGATTTCAACCAGGTGAAGCTTTCATGATTCGGAATGTTGCTAATTTGGTAACTCCATTTGAGGTATATGCCTACATCAACAAGCTAGTATTCTTGTTGCACTGTGGGAGGTACACCCTGCTTTCCCTTTCTAACATCTGGCTCCATCTTCCTCGATGCAGAATGGACCAACAGAGACAAATGCTGCTCTGGAATTTGCCGTAACTACGCTTAAAGTAAGATATTTTTGCCTAAGGATTTGGAGCTTTTAATGGTTATATTCATTTATCTCTGTACATTTTGTTTCTTTGGTCTGTTAATTATTTATAAGATTGCCAAGAGTAGGGAAAGAAAATCAAGAGATCTAGAACAGGTAAGGAGTATTAAGGATGAAGAAGGAAGAATTTTAGTTACAGATGATGAAATTAAAAATAGATGGGAGACTTATTTTTCTAAACTTTTCAATGATGGAGAGGATTCATCTAGTAACTTGGAGGATTTAATAACTGGTAAAGGAGAACAAAATTTGTCATTCTATCGAATAATACGTGATAAAGAGGTAAAGGAAGCTCTTAAGAAAATGGCAAATGGTAGAGCTAACGGACCTGATTGTATATCTATCGAAGCGTGGAAATGTTTAGGTGAAGAAGGGGTGAGATGGTTAACTAAGTTATTTAATGTGATTTTACGGTCCAAGAAAATGCCTGATGAGTGGAGAAGTACATTAATTCCTATTTATAAAAATAAAGGAGATATTCAGAATTGTACTAACTATAGAGGGATTAAACTCATGAGCCACACAATGAAATTGTGGGAGAAAGTAATTGAGCACAGGTTGAGATTGGAGACAAGTATTTCTGAGAATCAATTTGGTTTTATGCCAGGTAAATCAACTACAGAGGCAATTTATCTATTAAGGGGATTAATGGAAAAATATCGTTGTAAAGATAAAGATCTACACATGGTTTTTATTGATTTGGAAAAAGCTTATGACCGTATACCAAGAGAAGTGCTTTGGAAAGCGTTGGAAAAAAAGGGAGTACGGATTGCTTATATTAAAGCCATACAAGATATGTATGAGGGGGTAAAAACTAGTATAAGAACGCCTAGTGGTCAAATAAAGGATTTTCCTATAAAGATTGGACTACATCAGGGATCATCTCTGAGTCCTTATTTGTTCAACTTGATTTTAAATGTTTTGACGGAACATATTCAAGAGGAAATCCCGAAATGTATGCTCTTCACGGATGATATAGTTCTTATAGCAGAGACAAGAGAAGAGGTTAATTGCAAACTTGAGTTATGGAGGAGGACATTGGAGTCGAAAGGTTTTCGTCTGAGTAGAAGTAAGACGGAATATTTATATTGTAAATTTGGTAAAGGACCATTCGAAAATAATTTGGAAGTAAAATTGGGAGATCAAATTATACCTCAAGTGGAAAAGTTTAGATATTTGGGAGCCATTATTCAAAATGATGGCGAAATCAGTGGAGATATTTCACATAGAATTCAAGCTGGGTGGTTTAATTGGAGAAAAGCTAAAGGAGTTATTTGTGACCGTAAGGTGCCTAATAAACTTAAAGGAAAGTTTTATCGCACTGCTATCAGACCGGCAATGTTATATAGTAGTGAATGCTGGGCTTTAACGGGACAGCAAGAGCATAAAGTTGGAGTAGCAGAGATGAGAATGTTACGATGGATGTGCGGACATACACGTAAAGATAAAATTCGAAATGAGCACATACGCGAAAAAGTGAGGGTGGCACCTATTGAGGAAAAAATGGTAGAAAATCGGTTGAGATGGTTTGGGCATGTACAAAGAAGACCAAGGGAGGCACCAGTGAGAAGAGTGAAACATATAACTTTGAGTCCGATTAAGAGAGGTAAAGGAAGGCCTAAGAGAACATTCTTGGAAGTTGTTGAACGCGATCTCTTAATTAATAATATTCCTAAAAGCTTGATAAATGATAGAGCACAATGGCGTCTTGCAATCCATGTAGCCGACCCCACCTGGTGGGATAAAGGCTTGTTGTTGTTGTTGTTGTTGTTGGTCTGTTAATTATTTACTTATGCATTATGCGCTTCTCAAAGTCAAGTAAAATTTTGAAGTTCATTACAGAACTTAGCTGGAACCCTGAAATCGGCTATATTGAATTACAAGGATTTCAAATTCATTTCTCTCTCATGGGCCCATTCACAAACTAGGATGAGAGAAAGACAATGATTGTAGTTATAATTCTGGTTGAGCTTGTATTATATCTTCAATGAACTGCTCGGTGACAATTTTTGAGCTCAATATGGGAAAGAAAGCAAGAGAAGCATATATGATAATGGCAGCTTTGTTTGGTCAACCGCTCAGAATTTTCAAGTCTGGGTCATTAATGGATTTGAGCAATAACATTAAGCCATACGTCGTAATAACAATTTATAGCTTGGGTTTACGACTGTGTTATGTATCTGGAGGACATTTCAGTTTATGTGTGTGTGTATATATATATATATATATATATATATAAAACCTTCTGTTCTGAAAACATATAGTTCTTCTAGACTTCTTTGAGCTGAAAGATGAAGGTTATTCTCACTGTAGGTGGAGAACATCTTAGTCATTGGTCACAGCTGCTGTGGGGGAATTCGTGCTCTTATGAGCATGCAAGATGATGCAAATGGAAGGTTGAACTTAAGATAGCTTAAACATTCACTAGTGTTTTCCTTTCTACGATGAAAAAAATACCTCTCACTTTCTTACTTGGTTATTTTTATTCCATAGCCTCTTAGAAAGCTGGGTTGTTGCTGGAAAAAATGCCAGAATAAAAACTGAGGCTGCTGCTTCGGGCCTTGACTTTGATCAGCAGTGCAGGCATTGTGAGAAGGTACTTTTTCTAATGTTTTCATCCGCTAATGTATTTATAGCGTCTAATGTCTTCTTTCCTAGGATAAATGATACTCTCTCCTGTCCACAATATAGGGCATTTTTTAGAAGACCTTGTTGGTCCAAAATATAGGGCATTAGGTAGTTTTTTTTTTTCCAGCTATATTCTTACTTTATTATTCCTTTTTAAAAAGTGGTCAGCTGGAATTTCAATTGTTATTATTCTAGCATTTATATAGGGCATTTAATAAGGGTATACTTGGAAAGATATACAATTTTTTAGAAGGTTAAGGTTTCAATTGACTTATTATTATTATTTTTGGGGTGGAATCATGAAATAATTACTAATTCCCTATATTATAGACTGGAAGGAGTATATCTTTGCAGTTAGTTGTTGACAGATCCTCGATGTCATTGTGCAATTAACCGACCTCACTTAGTGAAGTAGAGTTTATTATTGTTGTCTTAATGTATTTATTTGCTCTTGCATTATCATATATCTTAGTTGTCTGTTTTCATCAGCTTCTTGATTTCTATAATATGGGCCTTTGCAAATGTTAATTCCTAAAGAAATTAATTACAAATGTGCAGGAATCACTTAACCATTCCTTATTGAACCTTCTGACCTATCCATGGATAGAAGAAAGGGTGTGCAAAGGAGAACTGCTCATTCATGGAGGTTATTATGATTTCATTGAATGCTCATTTGAGAAATGGACATTAGATTGCATGAAAATGAAATTAGAAGGAACTGCTAGGTTATTAGTCAAAGACAGAGTTGTTTGGTCCTAAACTTTTGCTTCTGTTTCTCTCAGCTCTGGCGGATTGTTTTCCTCTTTTGAAATAAATGTTTCTTAAGTGAGCTCTTGTCAACTGATGATTTTATAGTCCATACATTTATTTCAAATTATGTTATAAGTTGGGTTCAGCAGAGATTAAATAACTCTTATGCTATGTTTGGATGTATATATAAATTTGGATTTGGACCAAATCTTTTGTTTGGGCATTTTAAAATTTATGGATTTAGATTTATTTGTGTATGAATTTGAAAAACGTCGATTTTAAATTTGAGATTTGAAATGTAAGATTTCAAATTTAAAATTTAAATTCAAATTCATTAATCCAAACTTTAAATTTGTCAAAAAGAAAAATTAATTATTTAGTTCTTATAGTTTTGACTTCAATTATAAGTCAATCCCTAAATTTTAATTTGATGAAATTCAATCCTTGTAATTTTGATTTGATTGCAATTTAATTTTTAAATTTTAATTTATTACAAATCTGTCCTTATAGTTTGAGTGATATAAAATAGAAGTCCTTAAGTTTTATCCTTAAGTTTTAAGAAATAACTTTAGCCTTTATAATTTTATTTTTTTAAAATATAGGGACTATTATTTTGAATGATTAAAATTAGAGGTACTAAGTATATTAAGTTAAAGTTTAAGAATTGAATTGCAATCTAAGTTAAAATTATAAAGTATGAGTTATAATAAGTTAAAGTTTACACACTGCTCAAATATGATTAAAAGTCTAATATCAGACTGTCACTAGGGGAAAAAAAAAACATTAACGTGAGTTTATTGAACAGAATGTAAATACATATATACATACAAACTAATTTAAGTCGACGTGAGTGGCTGGGAGCTCTGGTCACTTAAACAAATGGTGGAACCTATCTTTTACTCTCAGGTAATCTTTGCTCTACTGTAACCTACTTCTTATCCTATCAATATATATATATATATATATATATCATTTGTATAATATTTAATTTTTTTCATACTTGAGTGATGTAAAATATTTCTGCTACTATGCATAATCTTGGCAGTACAGTCTTACAATATTCAATGTATGTTATCTGACAAGTATTAACCTATACATTCACTTAAAATTATGCCATGACACATCATTTCGTCTCTACAAAACCAGTCCTTAGTTTATGCTTTGCACTTCAGACTTCAGAGCAGTAATATCTCTGGGTATTCTCCTTCCCCTGGCTGCTTCCTGCACCGTACAAAAATAAACATTAAATATTATTCAAATATCAATATATATATATATATATGTATGTATGTATGTATGTATTCACAAATACATTTGAAAACAGACATATTTTTTTAAAACAATATCATACCGAAATAATTTGTCCAGCCAAGAGTTAAAATCGTCCACAGTTGACTTGGTCTCTTCTTCAACAAAGAGTTCAAGATGATCCATCATATTTGATATGGGCATTTCTATATATTCCTCACCATCCAAATCTGGTATGAAATTTTCTTCCTTCTTCGCTTCTTCATCAACATCAAAGCTGCATCACAACATTTTTTTTTAAGAACATTGAAATTAATACTGAAGCTTTATTATCTGAGAATCTTGTATGAGATTCACCAAAAAAAAAAAAAAGAATCTTGTATGAGATTTGCATAAATCAATGAGAGAAATTATATGATCTTTCATTAATATCTTTCCTTCAAGTTCTATGATAAAGATATGATAAGTGCATAATCTTTTTCCTTAAAATATTACATGCAGAATTAATTTTTTTAAAAGTATATATAAATAATTTTTCTAAATAAGTTTAACATACTCATATATATAAATTTAATTTTTATGAGTAGGAAATACGTTTTAAAGGAGAAGATCTAGGTACTTATATATATATAATATGCTTTTGTTTAATCAAGTCAAATTAAAATAAGTGAATTTTAAAGTGTTAATGATATTAATAATAAAAGTTTGTTATAGGAGAAATGATATACACATTAAAAGATCTACCTAATCTTTTGACTTAATTGAAAACAAATATTTTATGTGAAAAAGTATTTTAATATTTTTAAACTTCTATAATTGAATTCCCTTGATTCTATTCCTAATAAGGCATAGAAAGAAATTTTTTTTGATTCTATTTATAAGTTATGCCATTAATTTTTTATTATAATTTTTTTTACCCTCTATTAAATATTGATGAGAAAAAAGATGTTATTAAAAAATGTGTCCCTTCCTATTCTTAACATAAAGGGCTTGATGATGTATTAATTATATTTTTTAATATTATTTCTATTTAAATTCATTAATTATGATAAAGAATCTCATACAAATTTAATTTTTTTTATTTAAATAGGGATAAAATTAAAATTTTATTCTATTTTTAGATAGAATCAATAATTTAACTGTAGCTTCTTGGCTATGGCAAATTAGTTCAATGTTCCTATAAAAAGGAATAGAGGGAATATATTTAATAGGGGTAAAATTAAAATTTTTATTATTAAATTTTTAGATGAATTAATGAGTTTTAATTTTTTTTAATTTTGGTAAAATATATTAGAAGTAATTTATAAATAGTATTAAATGAGGACTTTTATATATATGACAAAATAATTATTCTTATTATTCTCGTTGTTGTCATACCTTATGTTTGTCTCTAACCACGTAGCAAACTCATCCATCGACATGTCAGTCTCTTCTTGCTTATAAAATTCCTTCTCCTCTTCTTGTTCATCAACATCAAAGCTGCATCACAATATTTTTCATGAACATTGAAATTAATACTCAAGTTTTATTATCTAGGAATCTTATATGTATGAGACTTACATAAATCAACAACAGAGAAATCATAAGATTTTTCATTTATATCTTTCCATCAAGTTCTATGATAAAGATATGGTAAGTGCATAAATTTTTCTCTTAAATATTACATGCAGAATTGATTTTTTTTTAAAATACTATATAAATGATTTTTATTAATAAGTGTAACACAAACACATATATATAAAAAAACATAATATGGAAATATAGTGAAGAAGAAGAAAGAAAGCTGGCACAGATCTCTTATATGAGTAGGAAATATGGTTTAAAAGAGAAGACTTAAATACTTAACTTTAAATATTTAATATTCCTTCCGTTAAAAAATATAAGGCATTTTTAATTGAATTTTACCTCCTACTAAACTAGTTATTAATTTTTAAATAAATTCTATCTTTTTATATTTATTCCTATTAAATACTCTACAATAAATATAAAGTTATTATCAATAGGGGCACTTTTGAAAAAAATGCAATAATTACACTTCGAAAGATTAAAAATGACTTATATTTTTAAATATTCAACTCCTCAAAAAATACTTTACATTTTTGAACGGAGAGAGTATATTTTTATTTAATTAATATATATTTTATATATTAATATTATTTAATATTAATAATAAAAGTTTATTATAGGATAAATAATATATAAAATATTTTAATATATAAGTATAAGTACATAAATTTTTTATAGTATTTTTTAAACTTTTATAATTGAATTATATAACAATCTAATTTAACTATATTATACTTATATGAAACAGCAGTTATTCTTATTATTCTTCTTGTTGTTACCTTATATTTTCCTCCAACCACGATGCAAACTCATCCATCGACATGTTGTTCTCTTCTTCCCCATTTGTTGCAAGGGTTATTTGATTATCTTTATTTTCTTCACAAATTCTTTGTTGATTTTCTTTTGGCCCTGTTCTTTTCTTCTTGTCATCTTCTGGTAGGATTATTCTTTGATTATATTTGTTTTCTTCACAAATTCTTTTTTGATTTCCTTTTGCCTTTGTTCTTCGTCTCTTCTTGCCCTCTTGCAGGATTATTATTTGATTATTGTTCTGCTCTTCGTAATTTTTTTGTTGGCTTGCTTCCGGCTCTTTTCTTTTATTTTGATGTTTAATAGCTCTATCATTTTTTCGTATTCGACATATAACATAATCTTTCACCTGTAAATTTCAAAAAAACATTATTCCTTAGTATAAATGCAAGGTAAAATAAAAATAGTCAAGTACATATATATATACAAACTTATAAAAGAAAACATATTTTATTATATACAAAGTGCATATGTTGAGATGATGAAACTTTAGGGCCCTCAAAATTTTCCTAAATTATCAATTTATTCTTTGAAATTTAATTTTTGCCAATGAAAATCCCAAAAACTTTGAAATATATTCTTGAATTGGACTGGCTTGATTGAATTGAATAAACAGAAAACTGATAAAAATCAGGCAAAAGCAGTGAAATAAAAGAATAAAAAAAAACATAATAATTAAGCAAGATAAAAGAAATTTGGAGTAAAATAAATAAATATACTTACTTTGAGGTCGTGAAAGAGCGACGGATTAAGCGAATATCTTATTACAATTCCTTTCATAATTTCTTATTACAATTTATGAATTTGGATTTAAAAATTTGAATCAAATCCAAATTCATTTCTTATTACAATTCCTTCATAATTTCAAATTCCATTCAAGTCACTGTAAACATCTCATTTTTTTCATATTTTCATTATTAATATCTCTATGATTCTCATATCTTTTCTCATCTTTTATTTTTACTCTTTGTCAATTAAAAAATAAAGATAAATTTATTATTTTTATTTTTTATTTTCATTTAAAATCTCAACTTATTTATCTTCTTTATTTGAAATTTTGAAACTACCCATACAAATGATTTCAAATATATGAATTTTAAATGAGATTTGAAATGTCAAAATTTAAAAAGGGGGTCCGAAAATTTAAAAAAAGTTAACACGCCCTCTTTTAATTATTATGCAATACCTTAGCTGACCAAAGATTATCAAACATGTTATATGAAGACTGGCTGCTCTCTCCATTGCAAAGGAGTCTATCGCTCTATCAAATATGCATGTAATCCGGCGCATTGAATGCATCAGCCGCCATAATTAAGTGATTGAATAATAAAATATATATTGTGACCTTTACGAGTTTTGGCATGGATTGTAGTAAAGCCCTCATCCTAAGGGCTAAATATAACTTTCTAGATCCAACGATAATCTGGCACAGGATCCAGATAAGATAATATGATATGGAAATTGTAAAAGGAGGCAGACAGCGCCCTATATTTATTATTCCTTATATAGAGAGCAAGACAACCCTAAGGCCATATGTACAACAGAAGATAAGAACACAGAACAAATAATAAAAGAATAATGTACACAGATCTAGTATATGATGGGCTCACGACCATAGTAATCATCTACTTATTCACGAACAAAGTGAACATCCAATCCAATATGCTTTGTTCGAGCGTGGAAGATGGGATTTGAAGCCAAGGCAGATGCGCTCAAATTGCCGCACTGAGCAACTGGGATATGAGGAATTTTGAAACAAATTTCTGAGAACAGAAATTGGAACCAGGTGAATTCAATTGCAATTAATCAGCCAACACACGATATATACTCTGACTCTATGCTCGATCTCGCAACAACTCTATGTTTTTTCCCAGACCATGCAATCAATGAATCACCAAGAAAAACACAAGACGACCATCAACACAAACAGCCCAATTAGAATCCGAGAAGCCTTTTAAGGTAAAATGATTACTCGGTTTTATGAATAGCCTTGCTTTGCCAATGCTGGTCTGTTGGTAAATGAAGGAACTAGTTGAGCTTATTTACAACAAACATAATATTTGGTCTAGCGTTTACCAAGTAGTATTGTAGTGCTCCTATTACTCTTCGATAAATAGTAGGATTTTCCACCATTGGTGTTGGTACTGGAGGGCATGTAGCCATTCCACACTTGAGTAAATGATCAAGAATATAATTTTCTTTCTTTAGATGCAGACCTATAGTATCTCAATATGCTTCAATTCGAAGGAAATGGTGAAGATGACCCAAATTCTTGAACCTAGATGATGCAGTGGCGGGGATCAAGCAATGCATCTCCATCATACTCGTGGCTATCAACTAGTGTCTCCACTGATGACAAACAATAGAAAATGTCGGGAAACCAAGCTGATGCTCAGAGTTGTTACGTTGGACTCACACAGCCAGATTCTTGAGTAGCATAGTGTTCTTATCCTACGATAGTTGCTGAGATCTGTTGTCGATTGATACTACTCCTGTGATAGAAATGAAGTTTGTTGAAACGGAAAAATAAAAGAGCAGAAACAGAAGTTACATAATGGAGCATAATAAACTCTTCGTAACCTCCCCTTAATTCCTGTAACCTCCCTTTTATTTTGTATGCTTTAGTTTCACAATCTCAGAACTATAAATAAGGCCATTATTGTCTGTGTAATGCACCTCAGTTTTGAAAGAATAAGAATTACTTGTTTTCATTCAGTTTCTGTGCCATTTGTTCTCGTCCTATATATTAGGTTTCTATTTTTAAAATATTGGATATTGTTTTTGGTACATTCCTATACATGTGATGGTGAGTTGTTGCTATGTCATTTGATCCTTTTGTTTTCGGATTGGTATGAGATTTAGGACAGTGTTTTTCTTATTCTTATACGAATTTCTTATGTATTATTACAGACCATATTTACGTTAACCCAATGAAGAAAAGACGTAGATGTTTAATTATTTGATGGCCTAGCTCATCTTCACCACGTATAAAGATCAAACAATGCCCCAAGTTATTAGTTGAATGGTTTGAAACCATTAAAAACAAGATTTTTTTTAGTGAGATTAACTATATAATTTGTAAAGAAAAACCTTGCCAATATAACAACACTTCTAATAGTTTGCTACCACTCTCATACCCTAATTTGTAACCCTCATAACAAGAATTTTTGCAAAAGAGATTCCTTATTTTGTGAAGGAAAAATGGTCTGTGAAGAAACATGTATAGATCGTTCAAAGTCATGGCTCTTGATTCCAACCGAGTCTTCCATGCTCAATAATAACTTGTAAAAATTTATGTCATTTTAATACATTTTCCTATACTTATCTTCTATTAAACATATATCTAGGCCCATATTGACTGAACCATCAAAGAAGAAGTCCAAGAAGACTAAATGGCCCAAAGTTTAATTTGCAGTCCATGTGTATATTATTTCCTTCTTCGTCTGTATTGTAGTTGATTCTTTCTCATTATAGAATAGGGCTAACGTGGTCCCTGTGCTGTAACTAACTCTGCTATACGTTTTCTCTATATAATTAATTGTTTTGCACAGGCTGCTCACGTTGAGAGAGCACAGCATTTTCTAAATCTGTCTTTTGCAATTTGGTATCAAAACAGACATCATCAATGGCAACCTTTCTAATTCTCTCAACCACCAGCTCACCTACTTTCACTTCCTCTACTATGCCTCTTTTTGCTACTTCTGCCATTCCATCCTTTTCTTCCTCTTCCACCTCCATACCAGAAATCAATACCGTCATTCCTTCTGTTGCTGCTATTCAAACTAAAACAATACCACTCCTCAACAGCCTTAATCAGGCTGGATCAATCAAGTTGGACCAATCCAATTACCTCCTCTAGAGTCGTTTTGTTCTCTTTGTTCTTGAAGGACACAAACTAGAAGGATTTATTACATGAATGAAGATTCCTCCTCTAAAATTTGTAGCTGATGGTAACGATGTTGTTGTGAATCCTGCCTTTGAAGATTGGCAAGCTACAAACCAGCTTATATATGGCTAGCTCCTTGGGTCCATGGGAACTAATATTTCAACTCAAGTTTTACACTGTCGAAGTGCTGCACAAATTTGGAAAGTAGTCACCGATCTAGCATTTTCTAACACTAGAGCTCGTATTACTCTGATGAAGTCTAAATTTCATAGTACTCGAAAAGGTTCTCTTCAAATGGAAGAGTATCTCAGCAAGTTGAAGCTACTGGCAGACCATATGGCATTAGCTGGGCATCCCTTACTAATACCTGATGTTGTCATGCAAACATTGGCTGGACTTGATGCCAATTATACTCCTATTGTTGTACATCTTGTCGATAAACTTGATTTGTCATGGGTTGATTCACATTCATCTCTTGTGACATATAAGTAGCATATCGAACACCTTAACAATGTTAACACAGTAAGTACAATGTTTGCTAATTTAAGTTTTCAAACTAATCGATCTATTTCCAGTACTGAACATTCAGGTTCTCATGGATCTTGGCATTTCTCTAGTTGAGGTCGAGATGGTAACGGCTGAGGTGGCAATCGTAGTCGGGGATGTTATAAAAATAATAACAATAAAGTGAAGTGTCAACTGTGTAGTCATCCTGGTCATGTGGTTGATGATTGTTTCTATTGCTTTAATGGAAATTATGTATATCATGAGAGATCAACTCTATCAGCTTATTATGCTTCGCCTAAAACAATTCAGGATCCAGCTTGGTATTTAGATAGTGGAGCTTCAAACCATGTCACAAATCTCAATGGTAATTCTATTTCTGGTGCTCAAATAGTGACAGGTAAATTAACAGTTGGTGATAGCGCAAGTCTGCCTATCTCTGGTCATACTTCAGGTTATTTTAAATGTGGTTCATCAGAGTTATTGCTAAAGGATATTCTTGTGGTCCCAACAATAATGAAAAATCTGCTTAGTTTCTCTGAATTAGTCTTGGATAATGATATACTAATTCAATTCCTTGGTGTTTATTATGTTGTGAAGCATCTGAGAATGGGCAAGGAACTGCTTAAAGGGACACGGTGTGATGGTTTATACAAGATAGATAGCGAGCTTTATGTTTATCAACTTTATGATTCAGCTCATGATGATAGACCTGTTGCTTTGTTAGCTACTTCAGAAACATGGCATAAGAG